GGGGCTCTTGTGGGGAAAGGCGGGGTGTAAATGGTAGAAATGAAAGGGGGGGAAGGAATAGGTGCGGATGCCCGCTCCGCGCTGAAGGCCCCTGGGTAACGGGGGTGGGGTAGGGCAGTCCCAACATCCCCGGAGGGGCGTCGGAATCAGTTGGAACCCCCTGGCTTCGGAGATCCGCGGAGGAGGAACGGGGGACGCCGAGGCTAATCCAATGACCCCCCCAATCCCCCCCCCGTGCCAGACTTCGAGCTCAGCCAGGAAGGGAAGGCTGGGTCTGAGCTGCTGAGCGGCGCTTTTTGAGCCAGTCCACCCTCTCCGCCCGTGCACGACGCGCCAGCTGGCGGGAACGGGAGCGCGGACTCCGGCCCACCACCTGTTGCGTGGCGGGGTCAGTCCTGGAACAGGTAGGCAGGTCTCAGCTGAAGCCCCCTCTCTCCGAAGATAGGGCTCCGGGGCTGGCTCAGAAAGAGGCGTCGGGTAAGGCGGAGGGGCTCTGCCATTGCAGCCACCCCCCTCTCCCGCATGCCTTCCCCCGCTGTCTCGACTTGCGGGTTTTCTCCCCGTCAATCCCACCGGCAGTTCGAATCCTGCCCGAAAGCCGTGGGGTCCTGAGAGGCGCCCAGGGCATGGACGAAAGATGAGCGGCAGGACGAGGGGGTCGGGCGGGCGGAGACGAGGGACAGCCTTGGTGCCCGGCGATGCACATCGGTGGAGGATCGGGGCTCGGAGGCGGCGGGGTGGGGCGCACACTCACCATTGCAGAAGGGCAGCAGCAAGGAGGTGTCGTAAAGGATCCCGCAGCTGGGCATCCTTTCGGCCATGTCCGCGCCCCTTCTCTCCCCCCCTCACAATCGCCGACTTCCCACCCACTCCGTCCCCCACCTCCTTCCCTCCCTTCCGGCCGCCTTTCCTTCTCCACTCACACCTTGGCTCCTGATGCCTCTCTACCCTTCCTTCGCTCCCCTGCATCCCTTCCTCCCGTCTCCATAGCAACCCACCTCTTTCCTGCATCCTTCTGTCCAGAAAACCGCGGGCTCCGGCCAAGGGCCCCTCGCCGGACCTCTTCTCGGTCTTCAGCGCCCTCGTGAAGCCCACCAGGCGACCCTCCCACCCACGCCCAGTTACACACACATCCAGCTGTACCTTCAGTTTTCTCAGAGCCCCACCCACCGCCCTCCCTGCCCCACCCAGGCAGCCCTTCCTCCCTTCGTTCCGATTCCTCTCCTCCCAAATCTGCCCCCACCCTTTGGCCCAGATGGAGACCCCCGCCATGCTGAAGCCTGCCAAGTGCCCCCACCGCCTCCCCGTCTCAATTTGCAAGGGCCGCGCCGACTCTCTCTGCCTTCCATTCCACAGAGGGCCCGCCCTTCATTTCCCTCCCTACCCCCCTCTTTCTTGGGCGGGGGGGGTCTCTAGCTCAAGATCGGATTGTGTGGCTCCTCCAGCCTTAACCTCCTGCCTTCTGCCGGACTCAGGCCCACCTCAGGCAGTCCCTGGGATTGCTCCGATAATCTCCCTCTCCCTAAGGAAAATTAACTGTAGCGCTTCCTGTTGCCAGAGAGAGCCTCCTTCTCGGTCCAGCGTTCGGGTCTCTCACCAGAAACCACCACCACCAAATGCCCCCCTCTCTCCCCTCCCCCCCCATGCTGCTGTACTTCTGCACTTTACATCCCCGTACCAGGCAACAGCCCTCCATCCTTCCTGCTCCTGCCTTCCACATCCTCACATCCTACATGTTCTTCCCATGTTTAGCTGGGAAGCTGCCTCTGGAGATGGGCCTCCAGCCACGTCTAGGAGAGCGAGGGGCGACCCCTGAGCCTATGCAGAGCAGTTTGCCAGCCCTCTCGGCTTGTGTAGGACCCACTGCCCTGTCCCGTGGGAGGTTTATCGGTTTTTTTTTCCAAAGCCGGGACCGACGGGGTGCCTTTCTGTTTTGCAGAATTGTTTTCCGAAAGATCTGAAAAATGTCCCATCACGTGAGACTCTCCCCCCCCCCAGCCTTTCCTGGCTTCAGAGTGCATAAAAGATGAGACCAGACCAAACCAGGGTGTTCTCGTACACGCACACATGGAACACGAGGCTGACTGGTCGTGGGAACTCACCGTTGCCACAGGTGGCAAGAGTTCTCCGCATCACTGAATGCCAGAAAAATTAGAGACAACCCTGTTTGACAACAGAGCTGTTTGCTGCCGCCACCCAACCCGGGGGAGGGGGCGGCGAGAGGTCTACTTGACAAAAGCCAAACAATCAACCCTTTAAAACCCATGGAAGCAAATTGTTTTCACAGTCAGTGGCAATGAATTCCGCCACTCTGCTTCAATCAACCCTTTAAAACCCATGGAAGCAAATTGTTTTCACAGTCAGTGGCAATGAATTCCGCCACTCTGCTCTGCTTTGGGTGGGGGAAATATTTCATTTATGGTACAAATCTCCCTGTGCGCCCCCATCCCCTGAAATAAATGGGAGTTCCTCTCTGGCCAATTAGCATAGAATTGCATGCTGATAAACTGCTTAAATATGGAGGCTTTTAGAAGAGTATTCCTGGGTGGCTTGTGACATCTAGCGGCAAACGAAGGCAGCGGGACTCCCTCCCACTCCACGCGCTTTAAATAAATCAGTTCCTCGTGCACACGTCACCCATAAGAGATAACAAATTTATATCCTCCTTTTCCTGCTCTCTCTCTCTCTTTCACACGCACACACCCTTTGCCTTCTAGCAACAATCCCTCTTCCTAAAATGGCTTCTTCACTTCTTCCCACGTCTCTCCTCCACGCCTGCTCCTGATTAGGGTCTCTTTCTTGTCTTCAGTCTTCAGGTGCCTCCCTTCGTGGGCTCGCTCCGTTTCTACTAACAGGAAGGTCAGTAAGCTCTGAAGGTTTTTGTCTCCTCGGTCAACTCCCAACCATCCGACCTGCAACCAGAATCTTACCCAGAAGCTGGGATCTTGCAGAATCTGACCGAGGGCCGGCGTCCTTGCTGATAGAGCTTCTCAGGCTGCCGCAGACAACAACTCAAGTCTTTGCTGGAGTCCTGATGTTGCCTCCAAGTCACTTGAGACTAGAACCTGCTCTTGTAGCCACCAAAACTGGGATTGGAGAGGAGAGGGTCAAGGGACCACGAGGAGCGAGGATGACAGCATCCCCGGGTATTGCGCGGGTATTGCAGCATCAGGAAGTACCTGGAGGACGGGGGCTTGAAGGCGCTGCCACGGTGCAGTTTCCCACGTCCACCACTTCCCAGAAAATGTCCTGCAAACGCTCTTAGGGTAAGGGATTTAAAAAGCAGGACATGATGAATGTGGAGCCTTTGGAACTTGGCACAGAACTTCCCATTCTGTGTGTGAGGAGCTTCCAGTTTTACCTCTCCAGGATCTGAGATACGCCGTGAGCAGATGCTTTTCATTCAAGAGAACCCAGGATGCTCTTTTGCTTTCTGCCGAGTTCCTCCCGCCACCCCTCCCTTGCCCCAAATCTATGTCCGCTCATGTCAGATGTGGAACAGATAAATATTTAATGTCCATGAATGATTAAAGACAATTTTGCCTCCCTGTTAATACAGTAGCTGTCCTCTTGGCTTGTGCAATGGTGGCTGATTCAAGGTTTCTGCCGCATGGGGGTCTGGAATCTTCCTTCTTCCAGGACCTGAGGTTGCTAGGGGTTGGTAGGTCCGGCTGTCCCAGGAAGCGGTCTCTTTTTCCTGAACACAAGCTGCTCGTCATCTGTGGTGGTCACAGCCCTTCGGCTCTGTCATTTTACACTGGGTGCTTGGAGGGGGTGTTGGGGGCTACGCTGGGACCAGCCTCACCAGCCTGGGGACCTCCCTCTGTGCACTTATGCCATCTGCTCACCCATCACACTTCTAAACAACAACATTACATAAAAGACGCACCATGTCTTCTATGTTCTTTTCTCGAATGGGAAACTTGCTTTCCTTTTGCAGGCTCAGCTCTTCCATTTTGGGTTAGGATTTTCTGTTGACTGAGTCACAGACTGCAAGAATCAGGGAAAGGGGCTGATGGAGAAAGACAGAGAGAGAGAGAGAGAGAGAGAGCAAGCACAGGCTTTTAATGAGTTGAACACTGGAGGAGTCCGGAGGAAAACGCCACATCTCATTGTGAAATTTCTTCAGCTTTCATGGAGTCCCAGCACCCTGTGAGGCTGAGAGAGGCTAATCTGGAGGACGTGTGTGTGTGTGTGTGTGTGTGTGAATTTCTTTAGCTTTCATGGAGTCCCAGCACCCTCTGAGGCTGAGAGAGGCTAATCTGGAGGATGGGGGGAGGGGGGGCTAGTCCTAGTCCCCACTCTCCTCAACAAGGGGGCTTTGGTTCAGCTGCCCCAATAGCCACCCGGCAAATGCAAGGATCTCTAAGGAGAGCGTCGAGCTTTGGATTGGCCACCTTCAGGGTCACGCACTTCAACACCCTCCGCACGAGGGCCCCTTGCCCTGTGAGGCTCTCTGGGTACTGAGTCCAGGCCACTTCCCCGGGCTCCCAGTGGTAGATGGCATCGTGAGTCCTGGAGGCGCAGACCCCTCCCATCAGATAAACCTTCCCTTGGGAAACCGTGGCACCAGCAAAGGCAAGCGGCAAGGGCAGGGGAGGGATGGCCACCTCCTGGCTTATCACACCTGACTCCAGGAAGAAGAAGCCCTTGGAGGTACACTGGAGATGCGGGCTGAACGTCCTGTTTGGGGACAGGTGTGTGGCTTTCTTGGAGAAGAAGCCCCCGATGACACAGATCCCTGTCTCCAAAGCGACCGCCGACGCCCCGTGAAGGCAACACCCCAGAGGCACCTGCGCCCAGGTATCCAGGTGGATGTCATAGATGAGGATGCCCTGATAAACCACCGCCACGGAGTCTGCATCCCCACCGATCAGGTAGAGCTTGGCCTTGTACGGCACAGAGGCTGAGAAACGTAGGGTGATGGGGAGGCTGGCGATGGGCGACCAAACCTGCCGGGCCACATCAAAGCTCTCTGCCGAGGCAAGCGGCCCGCTGTCATTCCAGCCGCTCAGAGCAAAGAGCTTCTGCTGGCACGTTAAGAACATGTGGACGGAGCGGGGGGTGGACATGGCCGGGAGCTGGTGCCAGACGTCCGCTAGAGAGTTGTACTCCTGCAGCGCCTGGGAGTAGGAGCCATCGGGGTGCTTGCCCCCCGAGATGTAGAGCCGGTGTTCCAGGACGGAGCAGCCAGGAAGAGCCACCAGCGGCAAAGGGGGAAGCTTTGTCCTTGAACCTGTCGCTGGATTCAGGCACTCCAGGTAGCAGTCCTCTTCGTCGCTGGCAGAGAGGATGTCCCCCAAGCGAGGCACCCTGATGCACACGATCCTCTCTTGGTACATGCCCTGCCTCAGGACCCGGCCCTGTTGCAGCCTCCCTGCCCCGTCCAGCTCCTCCCACTGCAGCTCCAGCTGCGGGTCAAGCATAGCCAAGTCAACCTGGAGATGGGCGGTTTCGTCCTGCGTCAGGAGAGGGAAACGTAGGTGTTGGAGCAGGGTCCTGAGTGTCGAAAGGCGATCAGCAGGCATAGCCACCACCCAGCGCTGTATGGCCTGGAAGACGTCCATTTCCGAGGCCACCGCCAGGCGGTCCGAGGAGATGATGCTGACGAAAGCCTCGAGGTCCAGACAGGGGAAATCCTTGTGGTGCGAGAGGGTGCCAAAATGGATCTGCAGGTAGTCTAACGTGCCACGCAGCAAGGTGCGGTGGTTGTGATCATGAGCCAGCATGTAAAGGCGAAGGCAGCTCTCCAGGGAAATCCTCTCCATGAGATACCTGCCAAGAGCAATGGGAAGAGTGAGAGTCTGGAGCCCAGTCTTTCCATCATCCTCCCAGCAGAACCCATGGCAGCCAGACCTCCCACAATACCTGCTGACGAGTGCCAGGGCCGGCTTGAGCTGAAGCCGACTGGTGGCCACGAACACCTCTTCAGCGTTCTCCGGACTGAGGGTCAGCTCTCCTGAGTACAGGTAGGAGAGCAGGTTTTGGAGGATGCCTGGATCCATGTCCTTCAGGAGGACTTCTCCGTCCCTGGACTCCTTGAAGCCGCTTGAGAACATCGCCTGGAAGTAAGGGCTGACGGAAGCTAACAGGGCCCTGCCAGAGAAGGGAGATCATCACACTCTTTTAGAGAGGCTACCTGGGTGCCCCATTCAATCAACCCCTCTTCTTTAGCCTCAGTCCCCCCCCCACCTGAAAAAGGGAGCAGCCCTCTCCGCAGGCAGCATCTGGTCTAGCAAGGCTAAAAGGTTTTCTGCATGTGTCTGTGAGCCCCCAAGGGTTTTTAAAACGGAACTCTGGCCAATGTAGCGACTGAGACCCACCTGTTGCAAGGAAACCTCTTTCCTCCAGCTACCAAGGTGGCATTACAGAGCTCCTGAGTATGATGCAGCTGTTTCAAACCTGGAAGGACATGGAGGAATATGAAAATCTTCTAAGTCCTTGGGTTTGGACTTCTCAAAGCAATGGCTGCTCCTTTTACAGGGAGATCTGTATGCAGAGGACACTACTTCTGGAGGGGGAAAAATCTATTTCAGGCATCCTACAACCAGATGTTGCTCCATGGTCCCTTCTATGGAAGCCTTCGGGCAGCAGGGGGGAGTGACAGAGAGGAATCGTTGGGCAGATCCAGAGGGTGGGGATTGGAGAGAACAGGAACGCCAGGCGTTATTTCTGTTCTCTTGTGGTGCCGAAAAGTGGGCAGCCTTGGTCCCTGCTGAGGCCTCCACAGCTGTATTCTGTTCTAGGTACTGTGTACAGACCCTCGAGAAGATGGAAACAGTGCCTTCAATGAAACGGGGAGGAGCAAAGGCAGGTAGGCAGTCAGGGTGTCTACCTGTCCTAGCCAGCTTCACACGCTCTCTGCCAATCACAGGGTCTGGTTTTGCTTGCCTTTATTTCCTGTTGCAAGAGACACTTTGAACAACCACCACACACCGCACCTGGCATCTGACAAAAAAGGCTACCCCCCCCCTTGACAGCAGGGTCAGGCTGGAACCCCCCAGGCAGTTCCACAAAGGAAGCTCAGGGGCTACAGTGGATCTGGTTGCCGTGGCCACTTCCTACCAAGATGCTCGAGTCAAGCTCACCTTGGCTGAAGCAGGACCTCAAGGACATCGAGGTCTCTGGCCCATCGGCCTTTCCAGCTGTTTCTGCACAAGCCAATGGTGGGTCCATGATGCCTCTGCCAGGAGCATGATGTCCCGAAATGCCCTCCCTTCCTCTCTCAAGGAGGGCGTAGTAGGGTGTTATCCACCTTGTCCACATGAGACATCCCAGTGAACCTTCTCTTGATCCCTCAAGGTCTCTGGGACAAGGAACGTGAGCAAAGGCCCCCCCCCCCCGTATCTCCAGAGCAGCCATGGCTTCATCACAATGGTCTCTATGACATCCTTTGAAACCTCCCCAGGCCCAAGGTGTCCTCTTTGGAGTTGCTTCGCCTTGGCTTTTCTTGCTTCCTTAGCGGTGCAAGACTTTTCAGGATGAAGGGGGCCCCTGTCGGGTCAGGAAGCCCTCCAGGTTCCAGCTTCTGGCACTTGTTCTGCTGGTCAAAGAACAAGGCTGGGGTGTGTGTGTGTGTCTCCATGTATCTTAACATGCTGCGTGGTTGCCCCCCAGGTTGTGGAATTCTCCATGGCTTCCAGACATGGTCTGAAGAAGTTCCATCTCCCAGCAGAAATATTTCCTTCCTCCTGGTTATATTGATTATTGATCCGCTGCTGTTTCTTTTTTTCTTTCTTTCTTTCTTTTGCATTTTGCCACACATTTCTGTCTCACAGGATTGTTGGCAGTCATTTACGTCAGCCAGCTTTAGAGCTCTCTCCAGGTGAGAGATCAGGATAAATATCACGGCTGTGGCGGCAGGAGCAGCAGTTGTCCTAATAACGCTTTTTTCCAGAGATGTCAGAAAAATGGTTTGGTTTAAAAATGCTGTATCCATAAAGAAGTCCACCAAATTTTAAAAACCAGACCAGTTATTGCTGGCGGCCAGCCCCCTTTCCCTTCTCCCCTCAACAAGGGATGTGCGTGTTAGGTGCTGCCAAGCGGCACATGACTTATGGTGATCCCAATAGGCCGTATCAAGTATATATCTTAAGGAGTAAGGAATAGTTTTACCAGTGCCTCTTCTAGAGATTCTATGACCAAGTGGGGTTTCGAACCCAGGTCTCCTGAGCCCTAGCCTGTCAGTTACTCCACAACACCACACTGGCTCTCCCTAGGGACAGAAGTATATGGTTCTTGTTCCAGTAGTTTTGACCATTTAAAAACACAATACTACACACCAATCCACCCCTCCTTTTAATGCATCAATAGCAATTTTCCCCATTAAAGCAAAATCCCACAACAACTTCAACCCCTGTTGAGCTCCATGGGCTTTTTTCTGCCTTTGCCACAATCCAAGGATGACTGATGGAATCTGTATTTAAATGGAATCCCCAATTGTTTCAGTCCTAATGCTAAGAAACAAAGAGGGTGGCCCAGAATTATTTGTACTGAGCGCAGACCTGCTCAAAACAATGTGAACTGGTTTATTCAAGACCTTGGCACGCTGGTGCCAGGCAGCCGGATCTCACCCATCAGTTCCAAGGAAGCCGTCCACCCGTCCGTTCCCAAGAAGTCACCCCAGGTTGCCTTCTGGATGTGGGCCTTGCATGTTTTGTGGATATTGGGTCTAATATGCTTAAAACACCTTTGGTTCGAGGAAAGGTCTCTCCCACCAGCCATTGTGTGCAGCAGCTGGCAGCAGTGCATGACACCTATCCCTGTTGTAACTTGTGAACGTCTGTGGCCTGTACGTCCTCTAAAAAGAGAGGTGGCCCCCTTACAAGGGTGCAAAGCTTGGGAACTCTGGCCCAATCGAGGGGTCTTGGTGAGCACCCCCGTCTGAAGTAGCATCTCAGCCAAGCCACCCACGAGAATACATTTGCTTTGTGGAATTCTGGGCCTTGGCCGGAAGCCTGGTTCCCCCCTCACCTCAGTGAAGGTCGTCGGCTCAGTGAGCCCTTCAAGTACCCTGACCGCCCCACTGTGTTGTGGGGATCTCCATCCGGCTCACCCCTCATGGACTTGCTCAACGGATGCAAACTTTTCATGTTTTATCCTACAAGCCCACTTGGGAAGGCCAGAGCTTTGAAAGGCAGCTCAAAGAAGGTGCCAAATCAGGAAAGGAAGGACTGGGTGTGCCCTGACTTCGAAGAGGCCCAGTGTTTCCAGAGTCATCGGGTGCTTTCAATTCACATGCATGCAGGAAAGATGACAAGCAGGAGTAAATCTTTGTTCCAAGTGTCTTATGATTGTGAAGTCCCTGTTTCTAAAACCGACTGTTATTTGAAGGTGTAGCAATGGAACTTGGTCATATCCAACTCTAGGGGTTCTTTATTTGTTATAGAAGCAGAAGTAACATTCAGGAGCCCCATACCCTCAAAGACTGCCAAGCCACAGAAGGCAACCAGCCGTTCTGCCAGGAACACTGGCCTGAATCCTAATGCCTAGATACGGACGAGCAGAGCAATTACATCTGTGTCTCAGCCACTGGATGGGAAACCAGCTGGAGGTGGGGAAGACACTCCAGACAGAGGTGGGCGCAGGCCATTGCCCCTATGCTCTGCCTTTGGGCAACAGGATCCTGACGACGGTGTCCCAGGGAGGAAGTGGTGTTCTCCATTAGCAGTCAGGGGAATCTGTTGAGGGGGCAGTGAAAAGCCTGCACCAATGGGGGGGGGGTCACACAGGCTCCTGGGAGAGTTTAACCAAAACCATGGAGTTTGTGAAATTAATTCCAAAACACCCTTTCCAGTACTGTGTGTCTCTCCCTTCATGCCAAAAACGTATGTAGCGAACTCCAGGGCCATAGTTTCTGAACACATGGGATACCTACAGAGGCAGAAAAAGAAATGAATGAAAACAGGATGAACCTCAGTTTGGATTCTAGAGACTAGTATCCCGCAAGGAGAGGGACAAGACTGGTTATGAACTAAGAAGGAATTCCAAAGGCTTCAGTACCAAGGGGAAGAAAAGACATTACTTAATCTCAGTTTATCGCAGTTATTTATGGCTCAGCGGTTTGGTATCTGGCTGTGGAGCCACAAGTAGGGAGTTTGATTTCCCCTTGTGCTCGGACCTGGGGAGGCTTCCAAGGGGAAAAAAGAGCCAGCCTGTGTGGCCTTGGGCAAGCTGCACAGAAGGCAGCGGTGAAGCACTTCTGGGTATTCTACACCCGGAAAACCCTGGGCAGAGTCACCAGGAGTCAAAATTGATTTGATGGCACATCAGAATGATGATCATAGTTGTGCATAACTTTTATCTAATTCTGAGATGTGAGCTGTATACTTTCCCCGCCCGTTATTTATAAGGCAGTGCCTCTGTTGGTTGCAGTTTGCAGGGTTTCTCTTTGATCTCCTGATGGTAATAAAGATGAAAAAAATGAAAAGGCACCCGAGTGCATGGAACTCAGACCCCAGCAAGCGCAGGATAGGCTTCAGAAACAATGGTAGCAAAGAGTACCTCATTATACCCAGGAAAGTTCCGCTGTGAAGTAGAATCCGGTTGGGCCTTGAAATCAGCGATCACTGAGGCCTGGTCAGCTGCCAGGAGGGTGACCGCCATGGAGTATTCGCAGCCAGTGGAGCGGCGGATGTCCCACCTGGGGAGGAAGGAAAAGATGCTGCGTGGCTACAGCCGAGGCTGCTCTTAGGCTTGAGCAGCTGCTCTTTCGAAAGTCAGTGGCGAAGGCACCTGGGCGCGAGACTTCGGAACTGCCCCAAAAAGTCCAACATGTGTTTGCATCGTCCAGGCCAGCACCACCTCGTTATCTCACACTAGGCTCTGTTGGAGGCAGAAGGCAGCTAAAGAGGAATATAACTCACCCGTCAGAAATAATAATATCGGGTTGGTAGAAGTCCAGGAGATCTTCCCAAAAACCTTCTTGCAGCAAATCAACCACCTGCGATTTTGAATACCAGCTTTGGGGAGAAGCAAAAAACCGATCGTGAACACATTGGAGCTACTCGGCTGCCAAAGCGTGCTGGTTTCCCAATAAAGGCCAGAGTCGTTTCTACCCCCTTAATGAGTATGCCATGTGTGTGTGCCGTGTGTGTGTGCCGTGTGTGTGTGTGTGTGTGTGTGTGTGAGAGAGAGAGAGAGAGACTGGACATCCTAGAGATGGAGAGCCAGATCACAGGCGCATGACAGAGAGTGCAGTGAAGCATGGAGAGATCCAGCTCAGAATGTCTCCAAGGGATGCTTCCCAGGACTCTCCGTGGCCTTTCAAGGAAAAAAAAGAGAGGGGGGGATGGAGGTGGTCAAGACCTGCAACCGACTCACCGATAACAAGCAGTGAACCCGGGGTGTTCTCCTCCTGTGGCTGCCGAGGCTCTCCTGCTCTTTTCCAAAAAGCATCGGGTCTTTGAAAAATGGATGTTCCAGTGCCGGAACTGCTCTGTAGACATAACACCAAGGGGGTCACCGTGGGCACGATGGCACGGAGCAAGCCAGCGCTTTCTGGTTCAAGGTCCTCATGAACCTTGACCAAGGCACGCCTGCTTAGCCATTGGGCTGGCCGTTGACACAACCGTTTGCTTTATTGCTCTTTGGATCAGAACCAGGCCTGGGGTGAGGCCAGGCCTTAAGGAGCTACTCTTTGGACCATCCCATAACAAGCATAGTTTGCTCTCTATGAGTACCTTGTGCTGCTTTACAAAGTCTGGGTTCATCTTCCAAAGGAAGTCCTATCAGAGACAGAATTCGGAAAGCATTAGGGAATGGCAGGGTGCCTCTGAGAATAGGCAGAGTGGTTCTGCTCAGGCAATCAGCCACTACAGCCAGTTCCAGAAAAAGCGGCCTGAGTGTTTGCTTGGGGAAGGGGGTCCCCTGCCGCCCCCTCCCCGCCCTCTCCACCGGCCTCACCATTTCCGCAGGGGTTCTTGATCAGGTTCCTCCCGAAGGGGCGCAGGACCGCCACCCGGCACCAGTCCATCCTGGGGCAGCGCTGGGCAGCCTGGAGGACAGCCTGGAGGGCAGGGTCCCTCTCGCACTGCAGCTTCCAGAGGGTGGGTCTCCCGATGAGGTCGCGCCACCGGCGGCACACCAGGCGGCAGCGGGCCACCAGGGTCCGGGCGGGCACCCAGCTCAGGATCAGCTCCAGCACTTCATCCGGGAGCTGGTTTAGACCCACAGGGCTCTGCACAGCTTCTTCAGGGGGGGTCTCGGCCAAGGGTCTCCTGCTCTTCACAAGCCCCATGTCCTGTCTTGCGGTGATCAAACTCCTGGGGTAAACAGTTTATAGAGAAAACATTTTGGAGGCAGAAGGGTGTTCTTCTGCAACCATCCTGGGCATTGCAATCCTGACTCTGGGAAGTCCCACTGCTGGGGTGGCCATCAGCTTTTCCAGGAAACTTTACATGGCTCACCATCAATTTCTTATGTCACAGTTTGAGTTCTGCTTTGGACACTTCTTTGGTGAGTGAAATAAATACATTTAAGCATTGCTGCCAAGAAGGGAACAAAGTTCTCACAGAATCATAGAATCGTGAAGTTGGAAGGGGCTCTAAGGCCACCGAGGCCCAACACTCTGCTCAAGACAGGAATACAAATCCAAGGATATCTGTCAGGTGGCGGTCTGAATTTTCTCTTGAAGGCCTCCAGCGTTGGAGCACTCACCACCTCTTGAGGTCATGGATTCCATTGTCGTACTGCTCTAACTGTTAGGAAGTTTTTCCTGATATTCATCTGAAATCTGTCTTCCTATAACCTGAGCCCATTGTTGTGTGCCCTGCACTCTGGGATGACCGAGTCCTGTCCCTCCTCCCCAGGATGCAGCTTCCTAAGCTTGGGGCCACCCCCAGCCACACAAAGCAGGAAGCCAGCTGGTGCTTAAGCAAAACAGGGTGGCAGCAAAGGCCTGGTGGGAGGCAGAAGACCAGTGGGAGGGGGCGAGGCCCAGCAGCCACCTGGAAAAGAAGAGTCACTCTGTGACACCCCCTTCGCCCATTACAAAGGCAACTCCCACCTTTTCCTTACAATGTGCAGGCTTGGGGGGGGCAGACCAAGTAGAGTTTCCACTAACATAGCAAAAATGCCTCCTGCAGAAAAAAAGGACACACATAATGCAGAAAGGACACCCCTGCTTCTCACTGGGCCTGGAAAGGATTCCTCATAGATCTACAAAAAACCACCAGCTCTGAACGAGACCGGGCAGCACCTTCTCATCCTGAAAAGCATGCGATTCTGCTTATGAATGTATTGGGACATGGAAAGAAATTCCAGAGTGCTGAGCATTTCAGACCTTCTCACCACTGCTATGAAAACAAATGCTTGCTTGCAAAGAAACTGCTTTTATGGCCCTGTGGCAGATTCTGGGGGGGGGCTCCCAGTGCAGAGGGGGTCCAGTGAGTTGAATCGTTTCCTGCATGGCTGGGGAAGGGGGTCAAAGAGGGCCAGAACTGGGGGAGCAAGAGCCAAAAGGGCTCCTTCGTTTATTTGTTTTTTAAAGGCCAAACCTTTTCCCTCTTTTGAAAGAAGGCAATAGGAATCTGAACTTTGGGCATGAGTCACAAAGCCCAACAGACAAGCCATGGAAGCCCCCAGGAGGTCTCTCTCTACCTACTCGCAGGTGGAATGTCTTTTCAACCCACCAAACTTTGACACTTTTTTACTTACCTAGAAAGGTTTCTGCTCTGGGGAGAACTCGCCTTCTCAGATCAATGGCGTGGCCAGACCCCACCCTCCCTTGGGCTGCTCCGTAGGGGGTCCTCATCTCCGCAGCTCACCTAGAAGCCCATTTCCTCAGCTCCTGCCCCTCAGGAGGGTCTCATTCGCCTGGGATTTCCACCAGAATTTCTACCCCGCCACCGCCACCCTCCAAAGCCCAGTCCAGGCACCAGCTTTACTTTCCAGGCAGGTTTTGCAAGTAAAACACGGGCAGGGCAGGGACCGCCTTTCTGTCGGAAATCTACTGCTCGTGGGGGGCAGGGATGTCCAGGCTCATGGCTTGCGCCCGAAACACGCTTAACCTTCCGGACCCTCTTGACTCTTCCTTGATCAAACAATACGGAAGAGGAGGAAAGCATCCTCTCGCCAAAGGAGTCTGAGCACTGGGCCATCCCAAGACACTTTGCTGACTGAGGCAGAGCAGCTTACGCTCCTCCCCCCTCCCAGTCCAGATGCACAGTACCCTAGACCCACAGGGCTCTGCACAGCTTCTTCAGGGGGGGTCTCGGCCAAGGGTCTCCTGCTCTTCACAAGCCCCATGTCCCGTCTTGCGCTGATCAAACTCCTGGGGTAAACAGTTTATAGAGAAAACATTTTGGAGGCAGAAGGGTGTTCTTCTGCAACCATCCTGGGCATTGCAATCCTGACTCTGGGAAGTCCCACTGCTGGGGTCACGTCCGTCGGGCGCTGCATTTCTGCCCTGCAAGAGACATCGCGGCGTCCCTGGGCTGCGGGGCGGAATGGCGGGACCCTCGCCTTCAAGGCCCCTGAAATCCACGGCCTGCAACCTCCTCCC